TCCCCTCACCTTTCCCGCGGGGGAAACCGAGCGAGGCGACAAAGAGAGGACGCAGACGAGAAGCCGTGTGTCCCCCCCCGCCCCACCCCGCGTCCCCTCCCCTCTAAGCGTTTAGGGGGTCGTTTGCATCCGGGGTGGCATGGAGATTTCTGGACAGGGGGGAGACTTTCGGGCTGGTGAGACAAAGGCACAGGCGGCAATCGTGAAGGTGTCCGCAGAGCCCCCCCTTCCCTGGGCGGGGTGTGCTCCTGCCGCCCGCCAGAAACGTGGGGCCGGGCTGGGAGGGGAGAGGAACTCACCCTGGGCATCCCCAGCCCGGGACGGAAAGAAAACCCTGGAGGAAGGAGAGTGGTTTACAGTGGAGACCCTCGGGGCTTTGGGGAATGGAGAGGAGGATTGGGGAAAGTGAGGAGCTGATCAAGCTAGAAAAACAGACCTCTGCAACCCCCAGGTATTTTCACCCCGCTTTATTTAACTCTCCCCTTCTTCCTCGAGAGCTAAGGATTCTGCACTGAACCAAAAAACGTCCGGAAACGGGATCTCCTTTTCTCCTCTCGGAGAGACTACGCAGACTTCCTCCATGAGTTATGTCAGAGGCCTGAAACATTGTCTGATTTACTGTGAATGTCAGATTTTTTTTTTGTAATATTTTAGGCAAAGTAGAAACAGTAAACCTTTGCTCGGGCTGCCAAATGTCTCCCATGACAAATCATTGTTTTCAGATGTTCAGATTTGTGTGAGAAAACCCAACAAAGGGAAAATGTTTAGGCTTTGTCTCAATCCTAAAGCAATATCATTGGAGAAAAAAAAATCCTGCTAGCTACATCATAGTCCTGAGATGATGAAAAATACTATTTTCATTACACACTTTTTAAGCATAGGTTTTATGTTACTGACTCAACAATGATTATCATTTTAAATGTGAAACACAGACCCTAAATGGTTCTTTATGAGAAACCATTGTTTTGAAATATCTGAAATTAATTAGACCATGGCTACAGTCAATGTGCAAGTATCAGACTGAACATCTGTGGAAAAAAAAGCTTCCCATCACTTGAAAGAATATTGTGAAACTGAAATACAGTCTATCAAGGAAAAACTACTTTGTCTGGCATAGGTTTTCTCAAGCCATCTTTTATGACTTTACAGTCACCTTTTATTCGTCTTTTCCTATGCTTTTTTCCTCCCTTTTTTCTCCTGAGCTGCTGAGTGTGAAAAGCCTTATGTAAAAGTCAAGGAAACAATTCGTGTAATTTAGATGCCAGCAATATTAAGGTCAGTTCAGGCAAATCAAAGATCCTTGCAAAGTTATTCCACTTGGCCACTAGCTCCGAAGGTCTAACTTCCCATTCCCATCTACTTGCAAAGGGCTGTGCCATGCCAGCTGTGCTGAAAATGAGTCCATTGGTCCAATTTTCCTCTTAAAGCTACAGAAACACAGGCTGCTTCCTGATTCTGCTGTGATTCAGTTATCTAAAAACCAATGTGTTTTCAGAGAGCACAAGACCTTTTCAAACAATAGACTTTTGCAATTTCTCAGATTCTGTGTTTAAGAAAAGCTTTTCCCAGTCCTTCTCTTTCCTACGCTTCAAGTCAAATATGTTTTTAGATCCAAATTAAAACTCTTCAAAGGAGTCAACCTTAGCAGCAGCGGTAACCATAGTGTATACAACCGCTTTCTCAAATTAAACACTTGATGG